CAAAATATGCTTTAAAGTTTTACCTTTTTATGTTCCAAGTCTCTCCAATTGATACAACTAAAAAAGGGGTGAGCCATAATCTCTTTCGCATCTTCAGGACCACCTCCCAGTCTTCTGGATGGCGTTTTGACCAACAAGCCAGATAATAAATCTCTAGCGTCTGAGCTTAGGGTTCTTGGATATTTTACATCCCCCATAATAATTAAGGCGAAGAGAGCGTCGTGATCTCTATTATAAAAAGGCAATCGGCCGCACATCTAAAAAAAAGAAACATCAAAAAATTAAAATTATTATAGTTTTATAATTTACTACTTTTTAGTAATACATAGTACAAATTTCATAATCACTAAAACTTTAACATTTATTGATTTTAACCTTTTAGAGATTAAATGGCAATCTGGAAAGGACAATCAAGTTTAATTTGACACAGTCTAGTCGCGCTTTACAAGTTGTGCTATAGAACTGAGGACTTTTGGGAATTCCTTGAATAAGCAAGGATGGCGAACATGTTTAGTTTGTTCATTTCGAATTAAGATCTTGCTTCCGTCATTTCTTATGGAAACATTTTAGTGAGTAAAAAGTTTAACATTAATTATTATCTACTGATCTCACTTCTTTTCAGCTGGAATTGACCACCGATACTGATTCTTGTAAAATGTCCCAATTCTAAAGTTCCGTTATTTCCTTCTTTATTTCTTGTTTTATTTTGATGAGCTGTTTATACAACTTGATGTCGATTAATAAAAGAAACTTTGTCACCTTCAACACAAAGTATAAATCGAACTTATTTCAATATCACATTAAATATAACAAAAATAATTCAACTCCATGATTTATAGTATTACAAATAACTATATCTCCATTATATTTCTGAGCAGAAATGACATTTTAGGCGAGTAGGTAAATACAAAAATTAAATTTATTAGTCACGATATACGAGACACAAAAAGAACTTAATTAAGTTTACGAGCAGAGACAGAGGCCACGTTGGAATATTAAAAGTTACGTGAATTATGTTGGTACCTAAATTGGAGTCTGGTAAATAAATTTGATGCTGTGTGCATAAAAGACATCTCCGGTACCTAACGTCCGTTCATTATATTTAGAGAGCCCAACCAAGTGAAACTCGATAAAGTTCGACTAAAGAAGGACCAAGCAAGGGTATGATATCGGAATTAAATACATGGAGATTAATATGGATTTGAGTGATAAGTTATATGGTCGATGTCTACGTACCGAAGTTAACGGAACATTAAGGATTGATGGATTAGTCTGGAAGAGACAAAATTGTTACCTGTGGAACCCTTATATGAAGACTGAGATTTGGACTTACCCTAATGCTCTACGTTTTTGCGCAAAGGTACAAGCGAAAAAGGATATATAAAAAGCAATAACTAGAGGCGGTGGAGCAAAATTTACGATATAATAGTATTTTGTAGAACATTTTCGATGAAAAAACAACCAATTATTTCTAAAGTTTGAGAATATTTCTAATTTGACCATTCAAGTAGAAATAATTCAAATACATTTTAATCTGATATTCAGCTTTTTATGTATTAGCACATCAGGTTGAAACTCGTTTTGTAAGTAATTATCTTTAGCTTTAACATGTTGCCACAAGTTCAAGCAGTCTTGAACAATAATTATAAAAATTCTCTCTTCTGTTAGTTATTTCACAGTGTCTAATTTAATTAAAAACATTCTTAGAGCATTATCAGTTACAATAACATAATTAAAAAGGAGATATGGAATTATCTTCTCTGTCAACCACTTCCTATAATTACGGATTCATACAGTAACGGTAGCCTCTACATGTTAAAAGACAGTTTGGTATGAAACCCATTTCAACACCAGCATGAACAATAGCTAATTGATTCCCTTTAGATATAGTTAATTAACAAACCGTTAGTGGTATTTTCTGTCTAACTGTTGGAGTTAGTGAAAAATATGTTTGTAAACATCTTAGTAATAAAATAAAATATTTATAGTGATAAAATATTAAAGAGAAATTGTAAGTACTTCCGGTGTAACAGCCGCTTTTCCTGAAGAGAGTTCTTCGTTAAATAAACTGGATCATTTAGTGAAGCATCCTCTACCACTCCATCCAGATGTACAAAAACATGTAATGGCAAGTTATTAAAAAACATGCAAGTCACACTCATTTCGGAAATAATGAATTCATTAAATATTGTTATCGGCAAGGAAGCTAAAATGTAGATCGAAAAAATGGATGAATATCGAATTATTCTGTAGCGAGGCGGCGCACAGTGGTCCGAAAACACTCAAAACCCGATCGAAAATCAATTTAAAAAAAATTTTTATAGTGTTGTTTTTTTAAATGTTACATATATTTTAACTATTAATAGACTCTTAGTGAAGTTTATGAAGTCTTTGATGTTTTATAATAGCTACTGCGCGAAATAAATTGCTATTACAATTACCTTATTTTGTATAAGGAAATTTTTTAGAAAACGACACAACTTTAGAAAACAAAAAAGATGGTATATCACTACTTGAAAATATTGTGTCGTTGGTTTCTTATAAAGTACAGAAAGGTCTTCATTTTACGCCTTTCCAAATTTCAAAAGATGTTTGTTGAAAAAAATTACAACCATTTCTATTGACGTCAATAAATACTTATATTTTTTGACCATTCAATCTTTTAAATTAAATATCTTGCGAGCGAACAAAATCGAACAATTGTAGCTAACATTTTTTTATTGCTGAAGGTATGGTGTACATAGCATAAGAAAGAAATCTTGCGCCAACGTGCGCCTTAACCAAAAAATTGGCAGTCAAAGATTACTTAACACATAATTGTGGATCTTATTTATCCTTGTTATGATTTTCGTTATTTTGTTGCTATGTTTTGGTTTTTATCTTTTCTATTTTGGGTAGACTTCAAACAAATGAAGATTTATTTAAAAGACTATTACTGAGCTCCGATCCATTTATTAGTAACTTTTATAAAGAATGTTCAGAAAGATATAAAAATATGAATGAAGACATGAAAAATTTACTTATACTGGACAAGTCTCTAGAAGAAAAGGAAGGTAAAGAAGAAGATGATGATGATGAAGAAAGTGAAGAAGAAGACAATAATGATGAAGAAGTAAATATAGAGGAACAAGATCTAGAAAATGAAGAAGACTCACACAAATTGAGATAAATTTTGTTATGTTGGTGAATATAACAAAATATTTTATATTATCTCGAATAATTTGAAATGTATGTGGACTATCTCAGTATCATGGGAAAATTCTACTATAAGTAGGCTGCAAACTTACGTATTATGGTCTCCAATATCACTTCAAATTAAGAGCGATGAGTTTATTCTCGAATAGTTCTTAAAACATTTTTAGTAAAAGCTAAGTAAAATTGAGCTATCTAACCAACTAATTCTGCCAATTAATTTTGCCACATTTTTATCAAATTCCATTTCTGATAGGGTAAAAAAATATGGGGCGTTCCATTTAAAATTTTCGACTTTCTTACCATTGAATATGGAGAAACGATAATTCAATTTTTGACCACCCTGTATAAGATACTTTAATACAACAAATGACAATCTGTTTGACAACATCTCAAGAGTAATCGTGCCAATTTAGAGCTTTTTTGAATGAACGTTGGCTGAGATATAAGGTTTTAAAGAGCATAAAGTAATTTGCCAAAGAAAAACTTAAAAACAAAATAACTCGAAAACGAAAAATGGTAGGTACCAATAACTTTTATCAAAGTCAACTTATTTTGTCGAATATAATTAAAAGGTGCATTAAAAACTATAGCATTCCATTTAAAATAACGAAGTTGTGGTCTACATCCGGTAGACCGGAAGTGGCGGCCATCTTGAAAGTATTTTAGATCGAAAGCTTCGAATGAACAATCCATGTTGTCAAAATTTCAAACCGCTACGAATAGTGGTACCTAAAAAAGTTCTAACGAACCAGTTACGTGAGACATCCGGTATAGGTCCTCTATAAAACAATTTAGATAGGAATTTGCGATCACGTAATTACACAAAAAAATGTGAAGTAATATACGTCTAATGTTTTGCACAAAATTTTATAGTAATATTCTTCTTTAAAGTCCTAATTTATATGAAAAGAAAATGAGTATGAATTTAAATAAAGTACTGCTTGCGTAGTACTACTTCCGGTTGACGAATTTAATTCAAATTTTGACACAACATTACCCTTTTGGTCTTATAATCATATGCCAAGTTTCATAAACCTAGCTAATTGCTAACACCAAAATAATATTTTCGATCGGGTTTTCTTACCGGGTTCTTGACCACTGTGCGGCGAGTCTCTATCCATAAAGATCCATAAAAAGCAGTAAAAGAAAAGTTTTCTTGGAAAAGTTCATTTTATGAACAACACAAGCTTTATTGTATGGTTCTGGAATAGCAGACGAACCGATAAGTCATTGGAATTTTGAAAGAATCAGATTTTATTATTCGAAAGTTTAAACGCCATTTTCAAAAACTACACCACCAATCTTCATAGATAAGATTGAACTAAAATTAAAAGAAATTAAACTCTCTCTGACAATCAAGTATCTGACTGATCATCGTCACCCGCAGTCCTTTGAGTTTTCCTGCAACGTTAATTACATCAGTTACGCCAGTTCTTCTTCGTAGGTCTTCATTTCGTACGTGGTCGCTCAATCTTTCTTTGCATTACTTTGAGCTTCCTGGCAGTGGCAACCGTTAATGTTAAAGCTTTAGAATCGTATATCATAACCAGTGCTGCCGGTTACACGTAGAAAGCCTTTTCAAATGTATGTGAATATCGCTCTTGAAAATATCTCTAAATTTCCTTAATCCTTCTGTATAGTTCGCTTTCTCAATACATGAACATCATAGCCAAGATATACGTAGCTATCAACCCTTTCAAGCTCATTATCACCAACGTTGATATTAGAACTGGAAACAAAATTTGTTCAGCATAAGTTTTATCTCTCCAAGGCTATCCGAAATACAGATTCTATTGTCCGCGAAGCGCAAATTACTCGGATATTTGTCGTCACTGTTTACGTCTTTTTGTGTCCAATTCAGGTGTTTAAATGCATTCTCCAGGACTGTGATGAACAATTTGGGGGACATTGTATCGCCTTGTCTTATCCCACGACCAATGGGTATTCGATCAATAGTAACATGCAATTTTACAAGTCATTGTAGCATTTTTGTAGATGTTAGAAATATCTAAGCTAGTTCTATCTCCTTTATAGTAATATCAGGCATTTTCTCTGATACTTG